GGTGGGGAAAAGATTAATTATTGAATAAATGAGGTCAGGAGCTCTGAGTAACATCTAAAAAAAAAAAGAAAAAATGGATCTCTAAATCTTTCTTTGTAACAAAATTAACAAAAGAATCAAACTTTAGAATGTAAAATATGAGCAATTAAAGTACTAGAAAATAAAGAAATATTCAATAAGTGGTATTGGGAAAGCTGGATAAACCATCACATGCAGAATGAAACTGGACCCTTATCTTACATGACTCACAAAAATTGACTCAAATTAACTGGCATGAACACTTAAGCATGATACTTATGGGAGGAAAAAAAACAAGAAAAAAGCTCTTTGACATTGGTTTTGTTCACAATTTTTTTTGGGTGTGACACCAGTCTACGGCCATTCCACCCTGAATACGCTTGATCTCGCCTGGATATGACACCAAAAGCACAAGCAACAAAAGCAAAAATTAATTAGTGAGCCTACATCAAACTAAAAAGCTTCTGCACAACAAAAGTAACAACAAAATGCAAAGGTAACCTTTGGAAGGAGAAAGGTATTTGTGAATCATATGTCTGATAAAGAGTTAATATCCAAAATGTACAAAGAACATACAACTTAGTATCAGAAAAACAAATAACTTGACTAAAAAATGGGCAGAGGAACCAACAGACATCTTTCCAAAGAAGGCATACAAATGGCCAACAGGCTCATGAAAAGAGAGTTGCATCACTAATCATCAGAGAAATGCAAATCAAAACCACAATGAGAGGGAACTCCCTGGTGGTCCAATGACTAAGACTCCGGGCTCCCAATGCAGGGGGCCCGGGCTCGACCCCTGGTCACAGAACTGATCCCATATGCTGCAACTAGGAGTTCACAAGCCACAACTAAAGATCCTGCAAGTGGTGACTAAGACCTGGCACAGCCAAATAAATAAATAAAATGAAAATAAATATTGAAGGAAAAAAACAAAACAGTGAGGTATCAACTCACACCTATGACAATGGCTATGAACAAAAAGTCAAAGATAACAAGGGCTGGTGAGAATGTGAAGAAAAGGGAACTCTTATATACCACTGGTAGGAATGTAAATTGGTACAGCTACTATGGAAAATATCCCATGGACGGAGGAGCCTGGCAGGCTACAGTCCATGGGGTCTCAAAGAGTCGGACATGACTGAGCAACTAGGCACACACATTATGGAAAAACAGTATGGAGGACTATCTTATGATTTTAGATATGGACTAGATATGGACTATCTATCCATCTGACTTCTGAGTCCAAAGAAAACTCAAATAAACTAAAATAACCATCCCAAAGAGATATCTGCACTCTTGTGCTCATTTCAGCACTATTCAGCACTATTCCTAATAGCCAAGATACAAAAACAACCATCAACAGAAGTCCATCAACACATGAATGGATAACCGTTCAACCATGAGAAAAAAAATCCTGTCATTTGCAACAACAAGGAGGAAACTTGGGGGCTTTATGCTAACTGAGATAAGTCTGAGACAAAATGACAAATAAAGTATGACCATAGTTGTATGTGGAATCTACAAAAGGTAAACCCATAGAAACAGAGTAGGATGGTGGTTATGAGGGGCTGGGGATTGGGGGAAATGAGTAGATATTGGTTAACGGGTACAAACTTCCAGTTATAAGATGAATAAATGTTGAGATCTAATGTACAGCACGGAATTATAGTTAACAATACAGTATTATATACTTGAAAGTTGTTAAGAGAGTAGATCTTAAATGTTCTCACCACAAAAAAGAAATGAAAATTATATGATGTGATGGTTCATGTTGTTGTTCAGTAGCTCATGTCCGACTCTTTGTGACCCCATGGACTGCAGCACATCAGGCCTCCCTGTCCATCACCAGCTCCCAGAGTTTACCCAAACTCATGTCCATTGAGTCGGTGATGCCATCCAACCATCTCATCCTCTGTCGTCCCCTTCTCCTCCTGCCCCCAATTCCTCCCAGTATCAGGGTCTTTTCCAATGAGTCAGCTCTTTGCATCAGGTGGACAAAGTATTGGAGTTTCAGCTTCAACATCAGTCCTTCCAATGAACGCTGAGGACTGATCACCTTTAGGATGGACTGGTTGGATCTCCTTGCAGTCCCAGGGACTCTCAAGAGTCTTCTCCAACACTACAGTTCAACAGCATCAATTCTTCAGTGCTCAGCTTTCTTTATAGTCCAACTCTCACATCCATACATGAATACTGGAAAAACCATAGCCTTGACTAGATGGACCTTTGTTGGCAAAGTAATATCTCTGCTTTTTAATATGCTGTCTAGGTTGGTCATAACTTTCCTTCCAAGGAGTAAGC